TAATGCTTTCGTTTGAACGAAAATGGATCTTGCCAAAAGAATAGGAATCGAAATTTAGTTTAGTTTTTTAATAACGATCTTCGTTTGAGCGAAAATGGATCTTGCAAAGAATAGGATCGCAATTTAATTTAATTTTTAATTCTTCAACAAGAAATGAAAAATAATTAGAAATGAGTATATAATAAATTTACTATTTTAAAAATCATTTTTATAACATTTTAAATATATCGATATAATTTTTTTAAATTTCTAATTATAAAATTGAAATTATCTTATTCGTATCAATGGCCTGGCCGGATTACGAAAACGCAAAATTTTTGCGTGACCTTATTTATAATACTGCACAAAACATTCATTCAATATTAAAGGCTATATGTTTCCTATGATTTGTATCAATTATAAGAGCACATTCAATGTAGTTTAATATAATAAAAGCATATTGTTTGCAAATAAACGAAAAATCTATCTTCCATATTCATTCACTGCGCAATACTATTTTGGATCTCTTGAATACACTTTGAAATTTTTGACTTAAGTTCTGGACTAATGTTATCATAAGAGCGTGGTAAAAGTGGCCACTCTTTAGCCACGCGTTTTCGAATAGTATCAAAATCATCCCATTCCGATACTTTACCATGATCATAAACCACACGCAGTAAGTTCTCAGGATCATTTTCAGCGCAAACCTCTTTTGGATAAACAATTGGCACCTGCAATATAAAAAATGTATCTCAGATTTTGAAATTTAAAGAATCAAAAGGAAGTAATAAATAATAGTCTTTGACTTACGCCATGTTCATTTCTCTTAACGATAAATTCGCCAGGTAAGCTAGTTTTATTGGATCCTGTCTTAGGAAACTTCATAACATCTCTATATATTTAACCCGTATAATTTTTACTAATAACATAAATAATAAAGATAAATTTTGAACTTAAACTAACTTTTGTGTTCCATCAGCATACGTAATGTGACATAATTTGGTGGCAAAACTCATCGTATCGCGATCAATTTTTTGTAAGAGACCAGCACCCATACCAAAAGTTACGTTTTGTACTGAATAGCCAGCTTCCTTGACAGCATTAAGAATAATCTTTATACTTTCAATGGTAACAGCATCACCTTGAACGACAGAACAACCACGAAGAACTTTGTAACCTTTTTTATTTACATAACTTCCAAATACTTTATCTGCAGCTCTGTAAACCATTACTTTAAAAGAAAAGCCGATAATACTATTTAACATATAAATTTAATGGGATAATATAGCATACCTGAGCGCCATTAAAATCACTTCTACAGGATCACCACTATCAGGTCTAAGAATCATTACACCACCTTTTTCAAGTTTTTGAGCAGCGATGGCAAAATATTATTCAATGCGTTGGCATAATCAAAAGAATCCAATACACAAGCATAGGTGCCAGAGCCGAAAAGTTTAATTGTACGTAAAATAGCATCCTAAATATTAAAAATGAATTAATTAATTATTTTATTTTATTATTTTTTAACTCTCTTTATATGAAGTGATCCGTTCTATTAATGAAAACTTTTTTTCAAAGGTTCAATGATTTTGAGCTTAACTTCATTATATCAAAACTTTAATTATTCTTCACTATATTTTGAGAGTTCATTATAACGAGAGTGAATTGTAAATTATAATCAATATACTTTTTCAGATTTATGAGCGGTCATAACTGAATGATCCGTGCCAGGTGCGGCATTTCCAACGGGTTTTCCATTATTAAGTTTAAATTGAACATAGTAACTAGCACTCAACATAGCAGATTTTGTGAAATTAACCTTTTTTTAAATGCAGTTAATACTTGTAATTGTAATTAACAATATTGTTATAATAAATTATTACAAACGAAATAGGCAGACCCGCCGATTATAGACTGTTCAATGCAAGTACACGATCGGAAACCAATATCAAATAATCGACTAAAATTTTTAAAATAATTAATCGGTATAATTTTAGTACGTATAGTATATATCATAACAAGTACTGGCGGAATGATTTGGTATTGTAAAATAATTTTTTTATATGTTGCACACCGGGTGAAGGATCAGTCGTGTAACATCGATGTTTCCTCCTGTTGATATTCCCCCATTACTGTAAATAGTTACTTTCTATCGTTTTGAGTTAAATCTATATAAAGGTTTTCGTTACGAGTGAGAAGAAGGAAGAATAATCGCCCACACAATAAATATATAAATTGGCATATTCTTTTAATATTCTAATGTTCACGGCTTAAAGCTAAATTGACAACATAGATCATAAGTCTTTTCCCAAGCTGTGACACCACGTAACCGAAATCAAGATTTTCAGGTCGGAGTGGTAATTGATGAACTTTGCTAATAATCCAGTAATCCACGTGCTAAGTAATATTGCCAGATGCTAATTTGCTATAATATATTATTGCTTAATGCTGGCCTAGCTTCGATGCATTCCGACCTTAAATTTTGACCGATCTACTGAATTTTGGTTGCGCGACTGATCTATCCGTAAATCGCATGATCATACAATATTGGGATCTTTGCTATATAATACGGGACGATGATTAATTTAAAATCCCATATAACAAAAGTGATGAATGAAGATATAATATGTAATGTATGGTTGTATGAGATAAAATAGGATAATTAATTGGAAATAAAAAAATAAAATGGATAAAAATAAGTAAGTGTAATCCATTAACCCCCTTCAATCTTTTTAGTTCTTATCAGTTATTAAGATTTTATTTGACTAAAATGGAAAGATTTTCATGAAAAAATGTTATGTTATGTATTGCAAAACGTATCTGAACTGCATGCTAAGATATTAAACCCTAGCTGCCACAACAAATTTGCGGCAGATTCTCGCTAAGAGCGACCATCAAAGCATTAAACCGGTATTACTCGGAAATTTACTAATAAAATCGCTGCCGCCTACTACTGTACTACAGTAGCATAGCGAACTTTCATTGTGATTGGTTAGATTTTGATGATCATCTCGTGATTTTATTGGCCGATCGACC